TTTCTTTCTATTTTGTAGACGAGCAGTGCTGAAAAGCGCTTGCAAAGTGAAAATGAAGAAGAGAAGGTGGTGGTAGTGGCGCAACGCCAGAGCGAGGAAGTTGTTGGGGAAGAGGAGAAGGCAGAAGAAGTCCTGGACAAAAGTCCTGAGCCGATCATTGATGAAGTGGTCGTCGGTGACCAGTGCGCTGAGGATGAGCCAAAGGAGGTAAAGGAGGAGGAGGAGGAGGAGGAGCAGGCTCCCGACGATAGCCTCCAAGCTGAAGCGATTCGAGAAGAGGAGGAAAAAGTGAAGGACGAAGGAGAAAAAGAAGGTGCGGAAAGCAAGCCCGCCAATGATGAAGTGGATGCCGGCGACACTGACAAAGCTGAAGTGACTCAACATCATGAGAATGAGGAAGTTGTTGAAGAGGAGGAGGAAAAGGAAGAGGAAAAAAGTCCCGAGCCAATCACTGATGATGAGGTAGTGGTGGTCGTCGTCGACGAGGACGAGGACGAGCTGGCCGGTGACACTGACGCCCAAGTGGCCCAACTTCTGAGCGAGGAAGTTGTTGTTGTGGAAGAAGAAGAGGAGGAGGAGAAAAGTCCCGAGCCGATCATCATCGTCGACGACCAGCCGTTGGCCGGCGACACTGACGCTGAGGTCGCAAAGGCGATGGAAGAGGAGGAGGAGCAGCAGCAGAGCCCAGCGTTGGTTCCCACAGCCGAAAATCATTCGGATAAGATTCAAGAGGAGGAGGAAAAAGAAGAGGTGGAAAATGGCTCCTCTTCGGAAGAAGAAGAAAAGGCTGAAACTGATGAGGAGGAGGAGGAGTTTGAGGCATCGGCGCCGATGCCTGCGGTCGATGATGAGCCGCTACAGTCGCAGTCGTCGCCGCCGCCGCCGCCACTGCAGCAACAGCAGCAGCAGCAGCACAAACAGCAACAACAGTCTGCTGAGGTAAGTCAACAATATCTGATCCGACTGGAAGAACTGTTTTTTAGAAGCTAACCAACTCATCCAAATGTTTTTTCCGCAGATGTGCGTCGATCTCCTGCAAGAGCTGCTGCTGGGTACACCCAAGCACTCGAATGTTGTTGCTGCTGATGATGTCGAAGTGGAGGAGGAGGAGGTGGAGAAAAGCTGCCCAGCAGCCAGCACTGACGAAATGGACGTCGGCGACGAGCAGCTCAGTGAGACAAAAGCGGAGGAGCAGCAGCAGCAGAGCCAAGCTCCCAGCGATGATGATGATCACCACCACCAAGCTGAAGTGATTCAAATTGAAGAAGAAGGGGGAGAAGGAGAACAAGTGAACGATGATGAAATGCATGCTGTCCAACAGACGGAGCTAAACGAGACGATGTCTCTTGACGACGACGAAGAAGAAGAAGAAGAAGAAGAGGAGGAGAAAAACGTGGTAAAGGAAGATCAGGACAAGGAAGACCAGGCATCAAAGATTGCCACCAAGATGGAAGAAGATGAGGAAGAAGTGTCGGAAGGAAGTGAGAAGGCAATGGAAGATAATCAGTCGCAGCCGCCACCGCAGCCACAGCACTACACTGTGAGAAAACTCACTGGCTCTTGTTTCATCACCGTTTGTTTGCCTACTTCTAACGTGTGTTTTCTTTCTCCTCTTTCCTGCCTGTTTAGAACNGTGAGAAGGCAATGGAAGATAATCAGTCGCAGCCGCCACCGCAGCCACAGCACTACACTGTGAGAAAACTCACTGGCTCTTGTTTCATCACCGTTTGTTTGCCTACTTCTAACGTGTGTTTTCTTTCTCCTCTTTCCTGCCTGTTTAGAACTTGGTTGATGACGTTGTGGCGCTTTCACTTTCGCCCAGCAGCAGCAGCAGCTGTTCCTCCTCCTCATCGCCGGCCACTGTTGTGGAGCGAATCCTCCTTTCGCCGCCGCCTGAAATGCCGCTGACGCCGCTGTTCATCGCTGCCAATCATCGCCAGTCTTCCACTTCTTCATCCTCGGTGGAGGTTGCCTCGCCTGAGCGTTCACCGAGCGTGCACGAGCCTTCACCACAATCGTCACCGTCAAATTCTTCTCCGTCTCCGTCTGCATCGCCTTCTTCGTCCTCGTTCTCGTCCTCGTCATCGTCATCAGAGCAGCCCACCAGTCCACCACCACCTCCTGTGGTTGGAACGACCCGTCGCCTTGGCCTTCGAACGCGGACCACGCAGCCCAAGCGCTACATTGATGAGGACTCCAGCCAGGCGCAAATGCAAAAGGCGGAGAAGCTGCTCAAGAAGCAGCAGCAGCAGAAGAAGAAGAAGAGGGGCGGCAAAATCGCTGCAAAGAGCTGCAAGATGGCCTCTGCTGCCATCAGCACCACCGAGGAGGAGGAGGAGGCCGCCTCCCTCATCGTCGTCAAGAAGGTCACCACCGCCAAAAGCAAGGGCAAGCGAGCCACCAAGAAAGCCTCCATTGCCAAAGCCAAAACGTCTAGCGTCCAGAGCAGCAACAGCAGCGGCGGGAGCAAAAACAACAACAGCAGCAGCTGCAGCAGCAACAGCACCGAGGACAACAACAGCAGCTTTGAGCAAAGCAAACAACAGCAGGCGGAGGAGCAGGACACCTCCTCTATTGAAGAAGTGGTGGTGAAGACTCGCCCCAAGCGGAAGGTCCGGCTCTACTCGGCGGCTCGCGAGAGCACCAGTCCACTGGTGGCGCATCCGGCGAAGGAGAATCCGCCGGCGGTGAAGCAGTTGCTGCTGCTTGAAGAAGGCAAGGCAAAGAAGCAGAAGAAGAAGGTCCGCTTCAGCTCGGCGATCGCCTCCTACCGCTCGACGCCCAACGGCGGCGGCGCCGCCGCCCTCATCGACTACCTCGACCAGCAGGCGGGGGAGCTGGAGGACCGCGGTGGACAGGCGTCCTCGCTGATGCCTATCATTTCGATGTCCTCGAGAGGAGGAGGTCGCCGAGGTCGATGCACTCGCAGCGGCAAACTTCAGCAGCTGCAGCAACAAGAGCAGCCGCAGCAGCAGCAGCAGCTGAACGGCAGCTTCACCCGCCGTCAGGCAGAGTCGCTGCGAATGGTCTTNCTCGGCGATCGCCTCCTACCGCTCGACGCCCAACGGCGGCGGCGCCGCCGTCCACATCGACTACCTCGACCAGCAGGCGGCGGAGCTGGAGGACCGCGGTGGACAGGCGTCCTCGTTGATGCCTATCATTTCGACGATGTCAAGAGGAGGTCGCCGAGGTCGATGCACTCGCAGCGGCAAACTTCAGCAGCTGCAGCAACAAGAGCAGCCGCAGCAGCAGCAGCAGCTGAACGGCAGCTTCACCCGCCGTCAGGCAGAGTCGCTGCGAATGGTCTTCGAGGACTCCTTCGACCCTGACATGCTCGACTGAAGAGGAGGAGGAGGCCTCCTTCATCCTCTCCCTTCCCTTCTCTTTACCTCCTNTCGAGGACTCCTTCGACCCTGACATGCTCGACTGAAGAGGAGGAGGAGGCATCCTTCATCCTCTCCTCTCCCTTCTCTTTACCTCNGAGGACTCCTTCGACCCTGACATGCTCGACTGAAGAGGAGGAGGAGGCCTCCTTCATCCTCTCCCTTCCCTTCTCTTTACCTCCTTTTTTCGGATTTTAAGATACCTCGTTTTCAGCAGTACATTTTATCCTCGATTGCGCATCTCTCTCTTTCTCTTGCATGTTCTCCCCTTCCCTCAACCTCTTTCTCTTTCATCTTTGCCACTCAGTGATAAGCGTGGCCTAGTGGATATTGTTGATGTTGTTGTATATTGAAAGTGCTCTCATTCGTCCAGTCCGTTTATAGCTTTGATGTTTGTACACATACCATACCCCATACCCATTGGACACTTGCCACCCATTTCAAAGACCTCTTTTAACATTAATAAAAAGTTGAACTGTTGTCGCCGTCGGCCTGACAGTGATGGCATGACAATGATGACGACAACACCAACACTTACAGGCAGTAACTCACCTGCCCGAGAAGTAGTTCCGGGTGAATCTGTCGGGTACTTTGGAACTTAAGCTCGGTTTGAATTACCGTACTTTGGTGCAGGCTGGTCGGATTCTTTTGCCAGGTTCATCCGACAGACGCCNACACTTGCCACCCAATTCAAAGACCTCTTTTAACATTAATAAAAGTTAAACTGTCGTCGCCGTCGGCCTGACGATGATGGCATGACAGTGATGACGACAACACCAACACTTACAGGCAGTAACTCACCTGCCCGAGGAGCAGTTCCGGGTGAATCTGTCGGGTACTTTGAAACTCAAGCTCGCTTTGAATTACCGTACTTTGGTGCAGGCTGATCGGATTCTTTTGTCATGTTTATCCGACAACCGCTAGATGGCAGCAGGGGTTCCACAAACTTTATTTTCCTGGTTTTCTGAACACGAGAAAAATAAAATTCACGGGCGATTTTTTGACGCCACTTTCAAGATGGCGACGACGGTGGCGTTCCAAGCGGACAACATCGGAAACTACTCCCTTTTAGCAATAAATTCTGTCAATTTTTTAAACAGGCATTTCTTAAGCTTGGAACGTTGTAGAAAGCTGAAAGTTGCTTTAAATGAAAGCTTAAGACTTGACGCACTATCTCTATGTAAAATAAACTAGTTTTGACAAGTTTTATTGTTGCAAAAATAGCATTGAAAACTTTAAAGTTAGATTTAAAAACGAAAAACTTANTGCTTTAAATGAAAGCTTAAGACTTGACGCACTATCTCTATGTAAAATAAACTAGTTTTGACAAGTTTTATTGTTGCAAAAAAAGCATTGAAAACTTTAAAGTTAGATTTAAAAACGAAAAACTTATCAAAACTAATTTATTTTACATAGAGATTGTGCGCCAAGTC